TTGTATTTAAATAAAATGGACGCTTAAGTAAATAATGATACCATCGCAGACAATTGCAGACAATTTTCAATATTAAAGTGAAACAACTGCGCAATTACTGCATTATTTGTACTCTTGGGTCTTACCGGTACGACAGTATTTCGAGCTATGTTATAACGTATATCTATTTGGAGATGCTTTTATAGAAATAATAGGTACAAGTGGCACATTTAAATTACGTTCTTCAACGAGACAAATGCAAATCAATGCACTAAGTTGGTTCAAAATTTGGTAACTCCTTATGTGCAGTTTTCAACCATTCGTAATTAAGATAGTATTTTAAGGGACAAGTTTTACACGGATTATGTTCGTCACATGTGTGTTAAATTTATAGATTTGTTCATGACGATCCCCTTGTATTTTGAATATTGTAAAATTTATTGTAATAAAACCATATTCTCTTTTTAGGTCTGCAACGCGGTGATGGCGATCATCCTTATACAGGCGATAAAGAAAGAACAAGAAGAAAGCACCGAGTATCGTCGATAGATGTCAGGAGGATGTTTTTGCACACTAATTTAGTATTTTAAAGTTTTATAATTTAGGTAATAGTTTAGAATAACGAGGTTAGAACCGTAACAGCACACATTGCTATATCGAAATGACAGCGCCCGCTCAGCACGAGTGTAATATTAAACTTAATAATTTATGTATGTTTATATAATTGATGCAATAAACGTTTTAGAACTGTTCTCTATTTATTACAATATGTAGATCGGTTTATATCTGCACGCGCCAGGTAACTCATGTATTTGTATCAAAATATAATGAGATATTAATGAGAATTCTGCGCCATAAATCATATTACGAGCAGCGCGAGTTCTATATCACTAAAATTCGCATAAATATCGGTTGAATGGGTTGTTTAGGGCTGGGGGAAAGCAAATACAATCTACAATGGCACGATTACTGGGGAGATGGAGCCCTATCTTGCATTACTATGCAATTTTTCAATACTTTTTATTATACTGCAATATAATTTAAAAATAAGGGAAATATCATGAAATCATATTGACGTTATCCTAGAATACAAGTCTAATTAAGTGGGCTGTGTGTTCGTAATCCCATGATTGCCATGGAAATGTCACTTCACGTTTGCTTGCACCGTCTCTGTCAATAAAACGATTTCGGTTGAAAAAGATAATAC